TTTTTTTGGAGAAACCGGTAATTGAATTATAGAAAAAAGTTTTTAATGAGAATAGTATGAATAGCATATGTTTTTGTGTGGAATTCACTAATTTTTTGTCAAATTTGAATAGAAAGATGGAAGTTAAGTTTTAAATACTTGGAGGATGTATTTTTGCTAAGAAGGATAATTTAATGATGTAATTTAAGTTGGGGCTATAGTTTAAGGATGTTTTTAGTCAAAAACTCATCTCAGGATACAAGGGGTCAAAATTAAGTGTAATTTGTTCTAGATACACTATATTCAAGTGGATTTGCATGTATCTGGGATATCTAACAAATCTCTCTTACCTCCCTCACCTTCCTCCTATCTAGCTCACCACTCTCCTATATATATATGGTATCGCAGATACATGTGAATCACACTAGATACACGCTAGATATATTTTTTATCAAGTCTAATTCGCATGTATCTGGGATATATCACAAATCTCGCTCGCCTCCTTTCCCATTTCACTCGCCTCTCTCCCTATTTAGTATATTGGTAGCAAAAATACATGTATCTATATGTATTCTCCTCAATATATGGTAGGGAACTCTTAATTAGTGGTAAGATATGTAAAATTTTAAAAGTATAAGTAATATTAGCATATATGATAGTGAAATATGTCATGTAGTTTGTTTTTTTTTTTAAAAAAAAAAAGTACATTCGATAAGAATAATGATTTGAAATAATACAAATTCCTCTTAATTGCTCAATTGTATTGCTTATGAAATTGCTTTTATTTCGATATCTTTTTTTGAGGATATATGTGATGAAGACAAAATTGATGCATTGAACCAGCATAAGATGTCCATGGAATTTATATATTTTCCTAATAAATCCCATCTAATTTTGGCTTGCATATCATTAATCTGCCAAAAAAAAGCAACTGCAAGAATTATTTTAAAAATAAAATCTTGGAAGTTATTCATGTGCTATCAACAATTAATTTTGATCCTGAGAATATATACTACTGCTATATTATAATATAGTAAATGTTTTAGACAAATTCACAGAATGTTTGTGGTATTGTCTAATAATTTCATACAATATTATATAATGACAAGAAAATATTTTTTTATTTCACCCCTGGTGTTACATCTTTTTATCTAGGTTCAATGAACAAAATTCTTTTATGTTTTGTTCAAAAAAAATTAATTTAGATCTGTTGTAGGGACCCTATAATGTCTAGGGAAATAAATTGTCAAAACCTAGTGAAAAATATTTAGTGTGGATGTCATAGACTTTAAAGGTAATGATTCTTGTCATATTTGATGTTTGGTTCCCAAAATAAATAAAATAGAAATACACAAATGTTTTTGTATTTATTGTGCTACATTACAAAGAGGAGTTAGAAGTTGAAGGAGAAAACCTAAGGTGAAGTATCAAAGATCAATATAAAGTTGAGATTTCTCTATTTTTAATTTGAGGTCTTACGTTTGGCAGAACTATTGCCAGTTATAAATTCTGCAATATATGAATTTAAATTTAATCGAGTTTTAATCACTATAAGTCTACAACAAAAGAGACCTTTTAGTGGTAATAGATTTTTCATTAAATTGCAATATTTATTATCATAAAAACATTTAGCGTCAATTAAATTAATGTTATTATATTCAGAATCGCTAAAGTATTTGATGACATTTACATACACTATTTGTTGTAAATATTTAATATTATATTATTCTCACTAAATATAATATAACTGTTAATAAATAATTATCGCAAAATCTTTTATTTATTGTAATGGATGTTGAATTCAAACATCGAGTGAGAAACAAAGGATGACGATGTATCAAAGGCTCCATTTATAATTACTTTCTATCAACCCATTCTCATATTAATATATTAATAAATGCATTTTATACAATGCTTTCCTTCTACTTCAAGAGGGTCCTCGTGGGAGATGGGGACATGGGGTTTTGAGTATATTCAATTAAATCAGTTTCAATGAATCATACAGATATTAAAATATGGTCTGTGGAAAATATCATAAAACTCTGTAGTGGACAACTCATAAACTTATTAATGCAAATAAATAAATAAAACAAGTTATTAATTTTCAGAACATACAAAATATAATAAATATCGTAAATGCATGTAGAAGTTACAAACCGGATAATATACAACTTCTGATTTTATAAAGATATGATGGTAGATTGTTGAATTGGTCATCTTTTATATCCAGCAATTGAAGCAACGTGTTATATGATAAATCGAAATATTGATCGTGCTATGAGCAAGACAATTCCGAAGAAATGGTAAGAGGAAATCATCACCAAGGTTCTCAATATGATGATTTTATTTTGGGACCGAATTAGTGAAGATATATAGACTATGTTTATTCTATGAAGCTACATTATTTAATTTGAACAAAAAAACAACGCGTAGATGTTTAGATATTACACATTGTTATTATATTTGGTGTATTCTCATAAATAAGATTAGAAGGATAGTGTATACGCAGACCTTATTCCTACAAGATAGAAAGGTTATTTTCTATAGATCATTGGCTCATGTAAAAATATTACAATGCAGTTTTAAAAAAGAAACAACGAAAAATGAAAAAGTCAAAATAAAATGTTAAAGAAAGCAAGACAACGCATACTAAAAATGAAACAATCATAAGGATTTGTCCTTCAAATGAACTAGTCTTTAATTTTTGTCCTTTTTAAGTAAAATGATTTTTAATTTGTCTTTAGCAATTGAACTTATACTAACAGGCTATAAATTCTTTTAAAACGCATAGCATAACTTAAAATGAAATTATGATACAAAAATATATACTTATGCCCCTGGTAAAAAGTTTTTTGCCTTGAGGAGAAAAAATGATGATCAACACAAAATATGGGCAAATGACCCTTGCGACTTACAAGTATACATTGCAAAATTCATATCTTTTATGACACTTCTAATCCACTACATCTTGCTAATGCTAACCATTGCTTCACTGAGATTATATGAAATATCTTGTTCTCTTTTCATGTTTGTTCCATCAACATTCCCAATTTTCATGAGAGAGTAGAAAATTGAACTAGAAAAGTTCAAGAATAGATTTTCAAAATGAAATTGCTTTAATGTGGTCCTCATGCTTTTTTCTATTTTTAAGGGGTGGGGGTCTCCCACAATATGCTTCGTACCTGTTTTGGGGTCCAAGTAATCCAGTTTTGTGTCGTATAGGGCCACTAAACAAGGAAAGCAATCTATTGTTTTTCTATTTCAGGGCTCGCTCAAACTCGAGACCTTTTAGTCAAAATGATTGAGACAACCAAAAAGATGAAAGCAAATGACAGCTTGCCACTCATAAATTTGTGTACAACAATCACATGTTCTTGCCAAAAACCCTACCATAAAAGCCATCACATGAACATTATGAAACAAGGTAGAGTCCCAAAGATATTGGTCCTAAATAACAAATAGGTACTTTATTGTTTGACAACATATCTCACAAATTTCCATTCCTCTCTGTGCACTCAATAGGGCTTTGGTAAAGAAAACCATGATTTAGCCAATCGGTTAAGATGTTCGCGACCAAGAAGTACTCAATTTTCTTTCAGATAAATTCTTAAAGGAGAAAAAAAGGTCAGAATGCAACAAGAAATAGGTCTAAGATCTTTATGAGCATAGTCAGTCGGATTCATTACTTTGCTGGACTTTCATCTTCGAAAGGGGTACTGTTCACAATATAAATGCCATCGAAGAGGAGTTTAACAGGAACTAACTTCATACTAATCAGAAACTTAATTTTGCTTCAAGTTACTACAATAATCCCAACTGGAGAGAATTCATTGACATGTTACAAACAAAGAACGTATTTTAAACATGAAATACTTCTATTGATCTTATATAAGAAAATTAAGTTAGAAATGTCTTAGCACAACACTAACCATAACAAAAACATCTTTTTTGGATCAAATAAGCTTCTGTGATGAATGGAAACAAATCCTCAAAATGAAAGGCAATTGCAAAGAGTTGCAAGTTCTTGATTTAGGAGATAATCACCTCAATGACACATTCCTCATGTGGTTGGAACTTTGCAAGGTTTAAACTTGAAATCAAATAAATTGCATGGATCCATTATAACTTCAAAAATTGACAACATGTCTCCCCACTTTCGAATCTTGAATCTATCTTACAATGTCTTCTCGGGAAACTTATCAACGAGTTTGTTTCAACATTTGAAAGTCATGTCAAACAATGAAGTCACTAGAACATCTTTATCTTGGAGGAAGGATATTACCAAAAATTCGATAACAATTGTAAGCAGGAGACTGGAGCTTGGACTTGTTAGAATTTTTGACTGTTTAAACTAGTATTGATGTTTTAAGGAACAAATTTGAGGGGCATATTCCAAGGATTATGGGAGATCTCATGGCAATTCACGCATTGAACTTATCTCATAGTGAATTGCAAGGTCATATACCATCATCACTCGGAGATTTAACCTCAATTTGAGTTTCCGAGTGTTGATGGTATATGACATTGCATTCATTATGAGATATATTCAACGCGCGAATTACAACGACATTTCCCATAATATTTGACATATGCCCTACAAATCTGGTACTTGAAAGATCAATACTAATGTAAGCCGTCAAAATTATGACAAGTTCAAGCTCAAGTCCCTTGGTTGCAACTGTTGTTCAAACTTGGTGATCTCCTTCTCCAAGATATTCTAGTAATTTCATTGTCTAATCAATTGACCTCATAGCTTTCAAATGTTGAAACAAACTCGTTGGTAAGTTTCCCAAAAAGATATTGTAAGATAGATCTGCAATTCGAAGTTGGGGAAACATGTCTTCAATTCTTGAAGTTTTAATGGATCCACACAATTTATTTGATCTCAAACCTAAACCTTGCAGCTCTGGCAGAGTTTCCAACCACATGAGGAATGTGTCATTAAAGTGATTGTCTCCGAAATCAAGAACTTGTAACTCTTTAAAGTTGGCCTTCATTTTGAGGATTGACATTTGAAATTGCAGACTGCTCATATAGCTGGTGGGATACGTGTGCCTCTTAAAAGCCAAACTCCCGTTCTGCTCGCTTCAGCACAGTTGTCACCCTAACAAAAAAATCTGGTTCTTCTTCCTTTATATCTTCCAGTGACCTTGACTCGTGTTCGTCGGCCTTGAACCAGATAACAGCAAAAGGAAGACTGTCAAAGTTTATAATACAGAAAAAATAACAACAGTTCCATTAAACATCAAGCACCTCCTTTGTGTATCCAGGCTTCACAAGTCATTTTGTGGGAGGGATACGTAATATAAGTTAAGAGAATTTCTTCATGACATCAATATCTTGAATGTTTTAGTCTACTTACACATGCAGTGAATATGAATCAAGAAACATACCTCCTTGAATCTTAGCAGGATTAGATTTGAAACTGAGGCCGACTTTGTTTTATCCCACCTAAAAAGGTGTCAAAGCAAGCAATGCACTATGAGTTGAGAGGCATAAAGATCTACAGACATTGCTAAATTTAAATAGTTACGACGACCACTTCACAAAATGATGCTTAAATAATTCTCTGCAGTGACAGAGCATCTGGAAATAAAATAGTAATCATGAATTTTACAGGGTGAAAATATCAATGCTTTACATAAGATCAAGTTAAAAATAGCAACTTCAAGCAAAAAATTAGCAATTAACATGCATACACTTTGCATGGATGAGTGGATAATATTTGCTGAACATATTTTGTGTGGTCCACTTGACCAATATACATCTTGTATTCAGGATTTCCCATTTTCAGTTGAGTGAAAAAACTTTATTAGTTACTCACGCAAAGAAAAGAAGACATAGTATGTGTAGTATGTGACAATCTTATATTAGACTAATGATATTCACTTTTCAGCACATTAATAAAAGAAATTGGCAAGTTGTATCCTCCATAATCATGAATATCATATTTCACAAAGTGAAAGAGTGACTAGGCATATAGACACAATTGGATGTCCTTTCTAAAGAAACAAGTTTTCTACTGTCTACTTCCGGTATACTACTTGTATACGGGGTTTCATTACCCCAAATTACATATTAAATTATCAAAGGAAAAATATATTACGAGGCAATCTTTTTTGACATAGTTGAAAAGATTTCGTGTTTGCCTATCTCAGGGAATGATACTGAAGTGAATACATGTTCATTGCATCAAATTAGGCTTAGCATACATACCTCACAAGCATCAACTCATTCACTGAACGCCACATTGCTCGCCCTACATCTTTAATGGATAGGTCCCTTGCACTTCTCCCATGCCACAACTCTTTGGCAATGTACACAACTTCTTCAACATCTACCTTTAAGAGTGAGAAAACAGGGATGAAAATGTGTTTCACGATACTTACTAAAAAAAACTGAAATAGCATGCAAAAGACAATTGAAAAAATGAATATTTCTATTTTACTGATCAAAAACTACTAAGAGGAACCTCAGTATATTCAGATCTTCCATCCAGCTATTGCTCAGCTATCATCATTAAGGTCAAGAGTGGCACTTAAGGACAACTATCATGTCTAATCCCACACCTCTACGACATCGGCCTCGATTTATTACGTGCCTAAGACTCGCATATAAACCTTCCTCTTTGGGTAATTTCAAATTATCTGAAGAAAGGGAGATGGAAGTATCTGCAAGCAATAAAGGAAACAAGACAAACTCAAGTGGAAGTTGAGGAGATCCACTGCTACAGGAAGCTTCCATCCACATGAGAGCTAATCTCTGATATGAGACTTGAATCTATAATACTTCATTTTTCTGGTCGGGGGGAGAAGGGGGCAGCTTAAAAAAGACGTGCCACTGCCACTGGATTAGACATTGCATAATACGCTCTAACGTTGTAGAATCCATTGCTAAGAAGAAAATAGATTAGGCATTCTGTCACATACAGCACACACCGTCCAGGACCCAAAAAATAAAAATTGTAGGACTATACATATAAGAACTTCACATCCTTTAACATCGGGTTCTGTTTTAATGCTATCAGTCTGCAGGTTAATTCCTTTATGACACAAATAGCAATGTTTGCCTCGACAAACAATGTCCCATAAAAAGAAAAAGCAAAATCTGAGAATTAAAATTGCAGCTCCTAACTTGATGACTTCAAGCAAGCAAATATAAAGTGCAAGTTCAGGACTTAGTACCTCCACTTGCATGGATGTACCATATAGCAACTCTTCATGCTCAATAAGGCGTTGATGGAGGATTTCGTAGTGATCCGTATCAAAATTCACCACTGGTTCCATATGGACTTGCAATCCAGCAAGTTGAGTCGCAACATAGGAAGCCATGACTTGCCCAAAAATTGCAGGTATAGTCCCCAGAACTGGAATGATGCGGACCCTAAATCCAGGCACTATCTGATATCCACATTGTAAATTTTAGATAATGCTCAATGAGTAATTTATTCAGATTAAGAGATGAATATTATGTAACATGTAGGAAAGAGAGTGACTTTTCTTATACAGTTTAAAGTTTAGTGACATGAATCTATTCTCATAACGTCTGAATAAATTATAGCAATTGCCAAATTTAGCAGTTCAAAAAGGTTAAATTCTTACTTGATAATCTGATGGATTTTCTTCTTCTCCGCTTGGCCCTTTAAAGGGAAGCAACTTTGCCTTTGGTTTCTCAAGAGAAAATACCACAGGAATGCCACCATCAATACCATGATCTTTTCTCAAACGATGTCTTACCTGCTCAATTAGTTTTCCAAGTAATTCAACTCAAAGTAAACAAGAGTATTACTAAAACAATATTTTCCATTTGTTATACATGGTCCAACTGTAATTCCTGAATATTCCTATGACTAAAAAAGTCATTAAGATTCTGTTGACATAACAAAAGTTGACAGCATGTAGCCCAGGTTAAAAATGCGAGATCGAGTATGTTTAATGTATCGGTTTTAAAGTGAATCAAATATCAGGGTAGACTATTATTACAAGCTTTAAGAAACCATCCAAAATATGGAGAAGTAGTCCCATTACGGGAGAGATCCATATCCTCAAACATAAGAGTTGTAGAAGTGTTTTAGCGCTATCCAGTAAGCCAGGTGATTTCATAAGATGCTCATTTAGCTTCACGAAGTTAAACTTATCTATTATATAATCTGGTGGATAAAGGAAGTCGACGCTCATTTCAACAAAAAAATTCAATCAATTATAGTAAGTGGAGCTAAAAATCAGAAGATTCCACATGCTGCATGTATAGTGCGATAAAGCTCCACAAAATTACTTACCGCTCGAGATAGAGGATCATTGGTAGACTCTCTTAAGTCAGCCACGCGAATTCTTGTTGGATCAGCCCTTGCGCCAGCTCCAGTTGCAGATAAAACTTTCAAACCTCTTCGAACACATGCAGCGAGAAGTGCCACCTACAAAGAGTATTACATTGCAATAATTCCTAACTGAAAAAGATTCAAAAGGTATTGCATAGAGCCATAACTAATTAGAAATAAGTACTAAAATAGCCATGCCCTTGATTTAATGATTCCATTGAAAGCTTTAGCATAATTGCATCACTCAGTTGTTTTCTCAAATACGTACCAGGACAGAAGGTAAAGAAACTAACAATTTCTATTGGGAACTGCATAAACTGATATTCGCAAGTGCCAAGCTCTTCTCTATTTTTCAAGAATTCATAATGAAGACAGTGTAAAAGAAACTTATGGTTCAATGGGGATCATATGATTCAATCCAAATAAGCAATGGGATTGCTATAATTCAAAAATAGCTCCAACTTGTTACTGGACTCAATTCACTATGGAAATCATTAATAGAGAAGTTGCCCTAAGAGAATAAAGAACATTAAGATCAACCTTATTAGCTGCATACAATGTTATAAAAAAACAGAGAACATGGAAAGAAAAATTCATCATCCCTTTCCACAAGGGAAAAAGGGGGTGATGAAGACAAAAATTAAAGTATGTCCTAATTTAATTAAAAACCATAAGAAAATAAATCAAGGCAGCTGGAAATGAGGCAATAAAACTGAAAAAATGACAATTCATTCAACTCAGCATGCAGGTTCTCAAAGATCATAATAGGCCAGTAATGGTATATTGTACTTCATAAATTGTTTCCCGTTTCAGCCGAGATAGAGAAATTGTTACATAAAAGGAGCAGCAGCAACAAGGAGTGAAGGGACACCTAAGCAAACCTACCTTTGTGTCGATATTATCAATGCAATCAAGGACAAAATCAGGGTGGCCAGACAGAATTTCTTCTTCAGACGATGAATCATATAAGATAACTTTAGCATCTATATGGCACTCTGGGAAAATTGATTGGAAGTGCTTCTTGAGGCACAAGGCTTTTGAGGTACCAACATCTTCTCTTGTGGCAACAGCATGTCTATTTAATGAGGAGACCGACACCTTCAACATAATTAGCAGATATCAGATATTCACAAATATAGAGGTAACATTTCTTTTAGGGAACTTGTATAGCTAAAGCAAATCATGCCCACACAATGACCCTTCAACTGCATGGAGGAGAAAACATTCATTCTTCAGGCTCGCCTTTCTTTTACACGAAGACTTCTTTTTTCTTTCCCTTTTTATTTTTTCTCGATAGAATAAAGGATTTCATTGATAAACATCCCATGGATGCGAGCAAATACAAAATACAGCTAGTTCCCTGGGCCCAAAGACTTAAATTGATTTTTGGATCACAAGCATTAAACATATTCTCCACAGAATAGCCTAATCACATTACCATTAGTTAACACAATCTACAACTTAGTATTCAAATTTTAGTGCCTAAAATTGAAGTTTAAATGAACAGTAATGCAATTTTCTGTACCCTTTAATATCAGGCAATGCCAGCTTGTCCTACTCACAATTAAGTTAAACTACACCAATGGAATGGTTTTAAATATTTTTTGAGATGCAGTGTCCTATTCTAAATGTAGAGGCACTTAGTATAACTGAGTACCGTATGCAATATCCCAAGGATTCCAAATCTTTGTAAGTTCCTTGCATTGCAATATGCAAATTAGACATATATTTAGACATCCAAATCATCTCTTAAGCCAACATGAAGAATTATATGAGAGAGTATAGCAGCTTAAAGGGAGCTAAGCAAAAGATTCAATTAGATTCCACTTCCATATAACTACAAGAAACAACTACCTTAACTCCCAATCAAGAACTATCAATAGTGCAGAACACGTGTCCTTGATGGATAGCCTCCACATCAATGCCAATACCCATACCATATAGATCAACTTTAGATGGGAAACAAAAAGGAAATATCTACATTAGCAGAAGCATACTCATCCCCCCCCCCTTTTTTTTCTTCCTAGTCATGCACACGAGCAAGAAGTCTAACTTCAAGGATCAAACGATCAGGTATGATACTCTGGAACACAATTTGACTTAAATTTTTCATCATTATTGTTAATTATGGTATCCAAGTCTCTAGTAGAATGTCAATAATCTATAGTTCTTGTAGTTCAATAACTATATGACGCATCTCTAAATTTTAGGCAAAGGAAAAAGGTGATTGAAATCTGAAATTTCATTTTTATCGACTTTGATCCTGCTTTAACAAATAAGGAATGGTGTAAAGAGGAAGGGAACGTTGTAAAATGAAACAGGATAAGGGACAATTAAACACGTGGATACGTTAGAATATTTTGTGACAAAAGAATATAACTGGCAAGAGATTAAGGCAGAGTAATATATAAGTGAATCAAATTGCCTTTAAAGACTATACCTGATCGAAATCCACAAGGAGTAGCCTACCAACTCCTGACCTCAGAAGCATGGATGCAGCATGACTTCCAACTCCTCCAAGACCAATTACCACAACATATGATGCAGTCACTTTCTGTTGGGCTTCAAGGCCAAAGAACTGTATATTCCTAAGAGGCCAGAAAAGAGTACAAAAATTAAGAGCAAAAATGCAAGTGTCACCATAACCAACAGTCATTAGCGTAATGTCTCAAATGGAAACAACGTCTTGCATGGATGTATAGAGCTGTAAATGAGTTTTGTTCGTCAAAAAAGCATGGGCTTAAGTTCAGCCTATTTATTTATCACACGAGTTGACCTCGAGCTCTCTGAGAGATTGAGATCACACATTAAACAAGTCGGACTTTGGATAAATGTATAAGCTCACTTGTGTTCATGAATAATTTATTTCATAATACCTCAGTAGATATTTTATTTTATTTTTTTGATGACAAGGGAAACCCGCAGCCGTTACCCTTTGGATGCGCACAGGGTAAAACCTCCGCTCCTATGCAATAGCTCGCAAACCACATAGGAGAGGTAACCCACACTAGGCAAGCCTGGTGCGACGAGCTCAACCAAGAAGGCAAACCCCTTGCTTTCGCTGGCAAGGGGTTTCGAACTTGAGACCTCCAACATCAAAGTCTCAAGCCCAAACCATTGGGCCACCCCGAAGGGTATACCTCAGTAAATATTTACGTCAACTGAAATGAATATTTTAGTAGATCTTCTATATTCAAGAATCAAATCTAAGGATAAAAATAGAAAAAAGTACATTCAATTCTCAGTACTCTAATATCTCCATTTTTCCCTACTTCGCATATCATACATACACCTAAAGAGAATCAACGACCAAGAGAATGATGGTGAGGAAAAGAAAGAAAGAAAGAAAATGAACACAACAAGCACATAGTGATCTCTGTTTTCAATTCTGAGGAAGGCTGTATTTTGTGCAATGTTACATCATGAAGCCCGTTAGAGCAAAATGCCAAAACATGGCAAGGTTTCTCTCGCTACATCATGTATGATATAGAGCTATTCTTCCTATCCTCTATGCAGTAGAGATATAGGTCTTTTTCCAAGGATATTTCACTTGAACAATCTTAGAAGAGACAGGAATACTGTTCTCTATTGCTGCAACTGCCATTTAGTTGGCTTGGTCACAGCTAGTTTTCTTACTTGTACTCCTTTCCTCATTATTAAAATCTTCTTGCCTTAATATAATTCAAAAGAAAAAGAAAAAAGTATGGCTTACCTGGTCAGTTGTTCAGAAACTACTTCATCAGTCAACGGGTTTGGAGTAGCCAGTCCATTACATTTGGATCCAGGAAGCCCTGATGAGAATCAACGTTAAACCAAATAGAACAGAAATGATAATACCAGGCAAACATAACTTTTAACCAAAGAGAACAGAAAAGTACCATTTGATTTTACTGCCTCACTTGTATACACTTTGCCAACACATCTGCAAAAGAAAGTTTACAGTCGTCAGATTTCAACTCCAAGCTTCTTAAGTAGAAAAGACCATGTGCAAGATGATTAAAATACATTAAAACGATTCTAACTTCATCAGTTGCCAAGTCTTCTCTTTTTCTGACAGAGGTGAATCAAGCTTTAAGAAAATTCTAACTTCATCTACAACAGGGGGTTGGGAAGGGTAGGCTGTAGGCAAACTTTACCCCAACCTTTGTGGGGTAGAGAGGTTGATTCTGATAGACACTCGGCTCAAGAAAACCATTTTTTCAAAAATATGCTTGAAAAAACAACAACAACATCAACATACCCAATGTAATCCCATAAGTGGGTCTGGGGAGGGTAGAGTGCACAAGATTACTTATGTTAGACCCTCAATCTTAAATAAAACATTTCCAAGCAGTTTGAGCAGTAAAAACAACGAAATAATAGAGAGCAGTACTCAACATACCAAGTAAAGAACTGAAATGACAACAAAATAATGTGATAACCAAAGCACAAAAAAACACAGGTGATAACCAAAACCGAAAAACAAGAAATTGTATGAACAGTGCCAATACCCATTGGTAAGAAAGAAAGACCAAGTACAATAAGCCGAACCCACAGGAAAGCAGAGAGCGTTCAACTACCAACTAACCTTCTACCCTAATCCACGACCTCCAAACCCTCCTATCTAATAAAAGATTCTAACTATCCCTCTTTCTTACAAAAGAAAATCTAGTGTTAAAAATATTCTAACTTCAACAGTTGCTTAAATTTTCCCTCTTTCTTACAAATGTGAAAGATTCTAACTTCATCAGTTGCCGAAAAACTCATCTTTCTTACTAAAGCAAATCCAGTGTTAAAAAATTCTAACTTCAACACTAGCCAAAATATTCCCTATTTCTTTACAGAGGCGAATTCAAAATTTAAAAGATTCTAACTTCATCAGTTGCCGAAAGATTCCCTCTTTCTTACTATACGAATCCAGTACAGCCGCACCCACTACTTCGTTTGAGCAATACACTCCAATTATTCGTTTAAATCTACTACATGATTTCAAATATTACTGCTAAATTGAAATATTGAAGAACTTAAAACTATTTTGTATGAGTTAGAAATTACTGGTTGTTTATTGGCAGTGGATCGGAAAGAAGCTTTGAGATAGCAAGTGTAGCAGCAGAACCCAATAGAGCTCCAGCTCCGATGAATGCTAAAATCTTGACTTTCTCTTCCATCTTCGTTCCCGTACCCCAGCAGCCACCTTCACTCTACTGGTGGCCACAAATTTAGGTTAAACCAGTGAAGAAGAGAAGCATGTGGATTGGATTTTGGATAGATAAGGGAGCCAGAGATGACCGACAAAGCCCAATTGGGCCCTGAATAAATGGGTTCACTGTATATGGGCAACAAGGCAAAGGAAAATGTGAAAGTTTCCTCCGGCATAGATTGTCTCCTCAACTTGTATCGAAAAGTCCGTTACGGGTTTAAACAATAATAACAACCTATACACATCTTTATTATAAGTTAGTTACATGCTTAAACTATAATGACTATCTATTACACACCTTTTCGATACAAATTCAGATGTAATTTATGTCTTTTCCCTTTCCTCTATATACTCAGCATGCGTTTTGCAATACATTCAAAATATTTATCCAGTTGAAGTTGAAGACGGAGTTATGTACACTTATACTTGAGAAGTATGAAATATTGTTCATATTATACTTTGTTTGGATGGTTGTTGCTTGTTGTATTGTATTGTATTCTTAATTTAAATACTATATTTATTTTGGGAAAATTATATATAATAGCAAACTATTAATTCAAATTAAATGTTATAAATATAGTTTGATTTAATTGTACCCCATAGTAAACTGTTATTATTTTGTCTCTCTCCTGGTGAATCTCACTCGCCACTCTCGTTCTCTCCTTCGCCTCTCTCACTTTTTATACAAACGCAAATGTATAAAATGTGTTTGTGTTTGTATAAAGCGAGAGAAAATTGTATATATACATATATTTTTGTTCCCCTCTCTCCCCTCTCCCAGATCTCGCTCTCCACTCTCCCAGATTTCGCTCGCTCGCTCACTCGCCTCTCTCACTTTATACAAAAACGCAAATGTATAAAATGTGTTTGTGTTTGTATAAAGCGAGAGAAAATTGTATATATACACATATTTTCGTTCCCCTCTCCCAGATCTCTCTCGCTCGCTGACTCGCCTCTCCCACTTTATACAAACACAAATGTATACATTGTGTTTGTGTTTGTGTTTGTGTTTGTATAAAGCGAGAGAAAATTGTATATACAAATTCAAATGCATATATTTTCGTCCTATACACTTATGATTATACAAATATGATCTTCCCCTGCCCAGTTTTCTTTTGTCTTTCTCTTTTTTTCGCTTTATACAAACACAGATTATACAATTGATCTTACGTATATGCATACGAAAGGAGATTATACAACTGCTTTCTTTTGTATATGTATAGCGAAATATACATATTTATGTTTGCTATGGAGCGCAATTATGCAAATTATAGCTATAACATACAAATATGGTTTTTGTGTTTGCTATGGAGCGCAATTATGCAAACTATAGTTATAACATACAAACATGATTTTTGTGTTTGCTATATGTGAAAGTTGCTCTATTTATTTTGCTTGTTACTTAAATTGTATTTTATCGTATCATTTAAATCTATCTTTAGGTTACAATAGAAAATCTCATTTCATGTAAGGATTGTTTTGGTGTGATAATGTCATTATCTTAATATTTTTTATCATTTTATCTCACTTATTGTTTAATTATCTTATTTTATCTTTTACCGTACTTTTTCATAGTAATTTAACTTCGTACTATACTTTTTTGATAGGTTTATCATTCAAATTGTTGATGTGTGATACTACTTAACAATGGAGAATAATACAATCTATTTAAATGTTGTATTCATTAAAACATTATACTATAATACAATACAAGATAATACGATTTATTACAAAAACAATAGGTAATAACCATTCAAACAAAAGTGTGAATGTGCTTAAATATAGCTTTAAATTTTACATATAATTTCTAGGTAGATTTGAAATTTTCATAATCCAACATTAAAAATTTAAATAAAGTGAAAATTTATTCCTAAGGAACATAATATTTTGTATGGGCTAAAATATTATTACAGAAGTCAATTATTATATTAAAAAATAGTTACATTATTATTGTTATAGTTATTATGTATGATGAGAACATTCACCGAGAAATCACAAATTGTTAGATTTTAAACCATGGGTAGTTAAGTCATTCAATTATCACATAATATATATTAAAATGAACCCTTGAGGGTTCAACATCTATTATATGTGTCTGAAAAAATAGATACACTAAGTAATCGAAGGGGGCTCAATATCAACTATATATACTTAAAAAGCTATTTTACTCATGTATAAATAATATAATTTTCTGCCGAAGAGAACCCCTAACTGTAAGGTGCTTCCACCGCTGCTTGTATTGATATTTATATATATCTTCCCATGCCACTTGGGAAAGATGATTTCACAACTTGTAAGAAATTTCACAGTTTATTACATTAAAAAAAGGGTAGTGCCTTTTGAGCATTTAAATTTGCATGAGGCTCATGCTAAAGGAGATCATAAAGTGATTAGACTATTTTATATTTACACGCAGCAACTGTATTATAATTGTCTCGACAAAAACCTTTTTGATAATTGTCTTTCAATGTGTAAGTTTTAGATTTTCCTGAACCTTTACTATGTAGCATATATGGTAGTATATAATTATTCACATACCATATATTTCTCAAATTAAACTTTTTTTGATTTTAATAGTTAAAAATGATTGAAGTGAAAGTACATATACAATATCAATTAACCATGTTAAGTGAAAAATATATGTATGAAAGTTGAAAAATGGATATTTCACTTTCAGTGATTTGATGTAAATATCTTATGCAAGTTATTTTTTATCAAGTTGATATGTGATGTCCATGACAGAGGAATGGGCCGATAAGGACGGGTTACATAGGAGGACTGACAGACTTCTATGTTGACAAATTTGTGAAGAAGGGATGCACATGACATTTTAGGCCAATCTCACATCAGAATGGGAGAGGAAAGTCGAGAGTCTAATACAAGTTCACATGACATAGTCCAAGGGACAAATCTATCGGGCTTGTCGGGATAAATCTGTGAGGCTAGCTTGTTAAGTCAAAACAGACAATATATGTCATGGGTGTAGTCATAACAAATATGGTATCAGAGTCGAGCACTCTCTCACTCCGGTGTTTCAAGTCAAATATAATTAAAAGTTTCCTCTTCTAAAGGTAGGGGTGAGAACTCCATTGCACACAACGCATTAAGCAAGAAGTTGGAGCAAAACAAGGTGCATCCGCGGGAAAGAATCATAGTAGAAATGCATGTCATTATATCAGATTTCATTCACTCTAGAGTTGAAATTAATCATGTGTTATCTATAAAGATTCGTCATCTCAGTCTCTTTTTGATGGAGCAAACTTTAGCGAAGACATATGTGATGCTTATGACGAAGGGCTGGACACAAAGAATTATTTGGAGGCTTCTAGGCCGTCAAGCTTCTGAAGAAGGGACGGAGAGAAAAAGGCGAAATGGTCTGGTGAACCCTTATACTTGTATGTGTTTGTATTGTGAACTCTTCTACTTGCCCCTTTGTCATCTGAACCCCTGAACTTATCAAAACACAATATTTTAAACACTATTTTTTACTTGGCATCCTATGTGGCAATTAATATCAAAGAGCATGTGACACACACCTATTAGGAGCGTGAGACCCTTGGAAAAGGGTCTAACAGTGACATTAGGGCTTCTTTTTCCCCCAAATTTCTTCTCTATCGTTTCTTGTTATTATACAACTCTCTTTTTATGAAAAACGCCATGAAAGACATAACACTACTACCAAAATATCTTACACTAACATTAGACACAAAAATGCAAAATCCCTAATAAAATTCAGCAAAATCAATATAATCGACTAAAACCCCAAAACCAAACAAAAACACAAATAGAGATCAAATCCAAACTAAACAACAAATAAATTTGAAAATAAATTAGAAAACCTACCTAGATAAGTTGAAAATCAAACAAAAAAAACTCAAATATATTTGACATTGACCCCTTGTTTCAGTTCCAAACCAAACCCAAACTTATTGCCTTCTTCTCACCATCTCCGACAAGCTTCAATCAACAACTATAAATGAGAACCAACAACAACAACAACGACAAAAACCCCAAACTAACTCCGCCAATAAGTCTCGACTTTTACAACGCCGCCAGTTGTGAACAATTAGAAACAATGAGACCACCCAATAGACCCCCACTTTTCCTTAGTGTCACCGGTCACCACCAAAAATTCAATCCAACAGAATCCAAAATCAACTCCGAACTCCGACGAGATTGTGAACAATTAGAAATCGTGCCAACATTTTTTACTTCAATAGAAAGAGTAGAAGAGGTTGGAAAAAGGAAAAGGGTAAGAAAGATAAGAAAAAGTTGAAATGAGATTGTGGGGATGGAGATGCAGATGGCTATGGAAAAGAGAAATAAAAATAGGAAAGAAAAAGTGTAGGAATATTAATCAAATATAATAAAAGGAAAAATGACATGGAGTGATCATACATGCATGTGTCATTTTATAATTGTTTTTAAAATTACGTGTCAAGCGTTTGTGATACACACACAGTTGAGTAGTTAAAAACGTGTTTAAAATATTGTGTTTTGATGAATTCAAGGGTTCAGATGACAAAGGAACAAGTAGAAGAGTTCACAATACAAACACATACAAGTATGAGGGTCCACCAGACCATTTTGCCAGAGAAAAATGAAGAGTTTTACAAATCATGATAGCATCACAAATTCTCATGGTATACACACTTTTGGGTCCAATGATAGCACAGTCCAAGGGACAGATTCGTGAAGCTTGTTGGCTAAAATAAACAATATGTATCATGAGCTAATTGGATTGGTATCAGAGCCAAACGCTCCTTTAGTATAGTAATAGAACAAACTTCAACGAATACACTAAATTTTTGGGGTGAGAGTGTGTACATGACACCCATAGATCAGAGGGCAGACCAATAAAGACAAGTAATAGAGAAGTATATAGTACTAGCAGACTTTTAGATAAAGAGGAGGGAAAAATTTTTAAAAAATTATATAACATAATACAATTTTTTATGATGCACACACTTTTGATTCGATGATGACATAATTAAAGAAATGTCTTATCGACTAAAACGGACAAATATGTGGCATGAACTTGGTTATGAGAGGATATTAATAAATACCAAAAACATAAGTCATGAGATTGAACATAATTAATTAAGCCGTAAGAAAAGCTAAGCAAATTCTATTAGTCCTGCATTTGGTTGAAAATATATGTTTGTTCAACTACATGAAAGATTATTTTATACCAAAATTGATATGGACGAACACTGATTTGTATCCATCTTAAATTAAATATTATTATAAGAAATAAAGTTGTTGGTGTAAAGCAATAATATAATCCAACATCATCCTCAACTATATTAAGGCTTAAATGGAGTTTAATTTATCTAAATGCACACACACAAAAACTAAAGTTAATAAAATTTTAAACTTCAAACATGTCAATATCCTTTTATAATTTGTTCTATTCTGATTTTTATTTTTATTTTCTTTTTGAAACATGATGTAGCCTTCGTAGCATATATGACCCATTTGAGAAGGCCTACATCTTGTATACCACATAAACTAATTTTGTACTTATCGATTTAAGACAAAAATCATTACGTGCCTCACACATCCGATAATAATTGTGTGTGGCATCAATTTGACTCCCATAAATAGTATTATATTCGGTAGTTGGTTAAGAGGTAAATTATTCATTCATAAAATAAATATGGTGTTTACTATTTAATTTTGTATTTTAAAACCCGCATAACTACTATATGTAAAAGTTATGAGGGGATTTATGTATCATTTTATGCACAATACAATATGTAATAAGTAATTCATGAATAACTAAACCTGCCTAACTGATTTCTCCATAAAATATTACATAATTTTTCATAACTAATTTATATATCATGCACCTGTCGTGTGACCCGTTGGTCCTAAGTAATGTCTTACGCGAAGTGATCCACTTAAAAAATTATCAATAGCTACATAATTCTAGTCAGCTACCAACCGACTCCTATATTATTCTTTTGGGAAATGTTCCAGAGCTGGCTCATATCAATGATTCAAAATGATTATACAAAAACATGTCGTTGTTGTGTCTCATAATCTTATTATTAATATAATATAATATAAAATAAGTCCATATGAGGAAATCTAATTTTTCCCAGTATAATAAAAACCTGTTTGAACATCTGTCAGAAGCTCATTAGAACCAAAAAGGCCAAAGAAAAAGTCAATAACTAGGTGCTTAATAATTAGCATACAGTTTTATTTTATCATTTTTTCTTTTTTATAATCATAATATTCGGATTAATTTACATATATTTTAATAAATTCTATGAACTATTTTTCTTCAAAGTAATTCGATTGAATACCGGCTCAAACCTTCATACTAGAGTATTATATTTGGGATTAATTATTTTCACAATTTGCACTTATCAAAAACATTACGATAATTAGTATAATAAAGAAATGGGAAGTGTAATTGTCATCTTATATAGTGGTTGATAACCATATACATATCAAAATGTACACGTATCATAATGTTTGGTATACATATCAAGAAAAAATTTAGATTTTGACTTTAAGGTATAAACAAGGTTTGCCGCATATTAAGATAGGCCAAAAATATTGAATAAAGTAGAAAGAAACACCTTTAGAAAGTGACTTATAATTAATTAGCTTGTTAAAGGTTATAAGAGCACGTAATGCCATCCTAAAATGAGCTGGCTTTAAAATATTGTGGAATATGGTAGTCATGACATATATCATTAGGAGTGAATTTAGACGGCTGGTTATAGATTTATGAAAATTTAATAATTTTTATTTCATAATTATATTTAGAAATCTGTGAACTTAATTAGTACTTTAGTATTGATTAAGTTGAGGTTATTATAAAAATTCATAAATTTTAAATTTTATATATGCCTCGATAAATTATAGTATCAATCTTATAAATTAGGTTTGGCCAAACACATAAACAGATCCCTAAACTCGTTGTGATTTTCCCCTCAAGTACCTCAACTACACCATTTTCCTATTGAATTCTTGAACCACCCATAATTTATTCCTTTTAAACACTGTGGGCTGATATGGCACAAAACTTCCCCAATTATTTTTTGTTGATTGTGCGCGTGAAATCCACCTTTCTCACGTGGAAATTGCAACCAATCAAACTTCAATCAATTTACACGTCAGCGCCACATAATCATTTCCCAAACCTAAAAAGCTAAGGCCCCTTCATTTTCCCCCCAAAACATTTCTGACCCGAAGTGCAATGGTTCTAGACGAGAAAACCCTAAAAATTGGTGCTATTTACAACTAAAATTCTCAAATTTTGAAGTGATTTTGCAACAAAGGAACCTACGTCCAGGGTTGGATTGCGTCCATGAGGTCTTCATTTCCACAACGACCCCACATTGACATAGCACATTTACAGTTGAAGAAGAAGAAATCGATGAACAAGATAACTTCGACATTGAAACTTGATGATTAAGAAGAAATCAATGAAGAAGAGATATATTCTGATGAGCAGCTCCAACTTAATGATAAAGAGAAAGAAAAGAGGAGAAATAAGAGAAAAAGGGGAAGAAGATTGTTGGTGGGTGGTTTAGAGATCCACATCAGCGCCTTCAAAATGTCTTCACGCGCTCAAGCGACGTGAGATCACATTTTGTGCCACATCAGCCCATAGTGTTTAAAAGGAACAAATTATGGGTGATTTAAGGATTCAATAGGAAAATTGCGTAGTTGAGGTACCGGAGGGGAAAACCCAACAAATTTAGGGGCCTGTTTATGAGTTCCGTCTTAGATTTTTATTGATGATGGGACATTCCTCCTAATATAATTTAGCAAGAATCACGTTATGGGACCAATTAATTGTTTGTTTATCACACAAACCATGGAAAACTTGGTTTGCAATTTAGGCAGCAGCCAATGTGATTATGTTTGTTGTACTCCACGAAAATGGTCTTATAATAAACCACAGAATACTGCAAGGGTGGCAAAAATTGGTTGAACATGTCAACTTCAAAGTGGAGTCTCATGTTTGAAATCATCAACATCCATTTTCGATCGAGCTCATCATATGAAACTTGTCTCGTGTAATTTATTTTTTATGTGTGAATTGCAAGTTGTTAAATTAGAGTGAAGTTTACCTTATACGCATTCAAAAGATAGCGACTACAAATTCTCCTATGACAAAACAATAGGAAGGGTGCTATTTGCGATCCCATTTGTTAGTTGTGAAAAATAATTTTAAATAAATTTGGATCTAGTAATAACTTTGTCTCTACTCTGATAATTACTAGCTAGTAATTAACAAAAAAAGAAGATAATTACTAGCTAGTCATAATCTTCATTAGATTAATCTCCAGATATGAAAACTAATATACTTCATTTAAGAGTTAAGACAGTAAAATTTAGTAGATAAAAATGCAACATTTCTAACAGCTAGTTTCAACTTTTAATGAGGCGATTACACAAATTTAGTTATAAATTATGTATATCATTCTTGTTAAATATATTAATTATTATGATAAGTACTACCTCACCACTTCTCATTTAATTGTTAGCAGCCAGGGCAAATGTTACATTGATGACTTGATGCAATACATATATTTAGTTTAATTTAATTTAATTTAATTTATGCGTTTACTTTTTCCAGTGCGTATATTTTAAATTTTATGTCCAATTAAATCTTAGACAGATAAAATATGAAAGGCACCTCGTATTATTTTATTTTTCTATGAGTACAAATGTACTTTGCTTATTACATCACTTTAACTACAAGCCTACAGCTGTGTGGTACACACGTAACGGCAACCAATTTTTAATTTAATACTTTAGTTTAGATTATTTAATAACGCATAAGATAAAATTAAATAATGACATCACATTAATATGTTCTCTAACTTGGGCTATATTCATGTCCTCCAAATCTGAGTATACATAATTGTTTAATTTGTATAAAATAAACTAATAGATATATATATTTTATATGATAATAATACATAAAATTAAAGTGTGTGTTTATATATTATGCTTAAAATAATTGCGGTAGAGTTTGAGTTTCATATAAATACCTTCCCTCCTCTTCTCCATAAAGTTCACCATCTGATAAATCTTTCTCTGGATCTCAGCTTTCTCTATCCGATAGCTATAGATTCGACAAATTTCAGTTGAACTTTCTCGTAAAATCAACATTTTCCAATTGTTCTTCAGTATATTTCTCTCTCTCTTTAGCTACTGCTGATTCATTCAAACATCGAAGAACTTTCCAGAAGCTCAATACAAGGAAGCTAACATATCAGTCAACGGATTTGACATTGCTGAGAAAATCCGTTATCATGCAGAAATAGAGAATCAATCAAAATGAGCAAAACTTTCGAACTTTCTGATGATTTTGTGTTTACTGTGTGAGAAGAACAGTAACGGACAGAGTGAGATTCGAAGAAAATCGATTCAGTTTCTGCATTCACACAGAAATCAATCCTAATTAGCTTAACTTTTGAATTTTCCTGATGATTGTGTTTAGTGTAAGAAGAAGAGTAACGGACAGAATGAGATTCGAAGAAATTCGATTCAGTTTCTGCATATGCAACAGATAAATCAATCTAAACTAGCAGAACTTTCGAATTTTCTACAGTGAGATTCGCAGAAATTCGATTCAGTTTATGCACACACTCAGAGAAATCAATCCAAATTAGCTAAACTTTCGATTTTTTCTGATGATTTTGCGTTTACTAGAGTGAGAGATCTGTGAATTTTACAGTGCGTTTGTGAAGATGTCGATGAAGAGAGAATTAGGAGAAGAGAGGAATGGAAGAGATTCACCAAAAGAGTATAAGATGAATGATTTGAGAGATAGTATGAAATCGTTGAGAAGTACCAGTAGATTAGCGATGATGGAGAACGAACTAATAGCTGATTCAACTCATTCGAGATTTAGCAGAGAAAACGTCATCAATGGCCTCAGAGGCCTTTCTCAAGATTTCGTCATTTATCCCGATGACAGGTACGCTTCTAGCTTTCTCCTCGCATTAAAAAGGAGATTACGATATGAAAAATCAAATTATTAATATGAGTGTTCATCGATTTTTCAAGTAATAAGCTTCATTTTAATAATCCTTTCTCACGTACAAAATTGACGTTAATTTGATCAAAAGTGAATAAAATTAAAATACTCCTATGTTTTAGGAGTAATTAAACATTATTATTCGAAATTAATGTGTCATTTACTTTTTTTCATCTTATTTTAATGAGTCATTTTAATTTAAAAGTTATTTCAAATAATTATATTATTTAAATATCAAAGTTAAAATTGGCAACTATTTCAAAGTTATACTTTAACATTAACAAAAACGGTTCTTAAAAATGCTTAATTCTCAAAAGACATCTAACGAATAAAAATAACTTAATAATTTATGTTTTATATTTTTTCCAATAAATGTGAAAACAACTTAAAACACAGTTAGAAAAAGAAAATAGTGGAGTATATATTAATTTATATAAATATATCTTATTATAGGAAGTGCTTACATAAATTAAAAGATGTAAATGGCAAGTAATGTCCTCAATTGAGATAACACTTTCCATTTTTTCTAGATTAAAATAATTTAAATTTGATTGAGAATTTATACATTAAATATTTAAATTTTTTAAAATAAAATTTATATATTTATAAATTACATAAAAATACTATAAATTTCAATAATTTACAATTCAAAAAATATAAAAAAATTTACAATCTAAAATAGACTCGTTTTCTTCACCTCAATGTATGAAAAGTGTCAGTCTAGTAAATATTTTCGGTACTTTGGCGTGGAAAAAGTTACGGCGACTTGTCGTTTTTGTGTCAGAGAATAATCGTTTTGAGATATGCGTCACTCCCGGCGAGGATTTTGGGTATAAAGGTTCATTGGGTTTGGGGAGAACATTTGCCAGTTTTGGATATACACCATGATTACAACTACTACTAACAATACTTCCTTTTTTTAAATTTTCAATATACCAGAGGATAGTTTAATACATAAAATATATTAATTAATATTTAATATGTCAAACAAACTACTCCCTTCGTTATGATTCAAAATAAATTGTAATATTTGCATGGTTATAAATCGAGAAAATGACCAAAATTGTAAACTCACTTGACACATGGAAAATGTAGTTCAGCTTTGTAAGTTAAAAATATGATTGGTTGATATGATTATACACAATTAGTTTATAAGTGATCTGATTGCCCAGAAATATCTTTTACACTGTTCATAAAATTTAAACTCTGACAATGATCAGAAGAAGATCACGAGATTTATGTGTGAGAGGAAAAAATTAGGAGCTGCTAGTTGGGTTGACAGGGTGGAAAGTGGGTTGCAATATTGCTGCTTGGAGGTGGAGCTATAAAGTCGTTAAGTTCAAATCAATAGTGTAAACAAAATTCAAATTTGACAGAGAAATATATCATAGTAGAGTAATAAAATTACTAGATTTAACTTATTCATAATTATAACACATTTTTTTACACTTATAGGTGCATATAATATGTTGAAGTATCTTATTTTTTGGACTGCTAATTTTTTATTGTGAGCATTTACTTATAGTTATTTTTTAGGTAAAAATGTAAACTCATAAAGTTTAATGGATTGACTTGATCATAATTATGTATAAATAACTGACTTTTTTTTCTTTGTAATACATCATTCATTGATGAAAAGAAAAGCACATTTACTTGTATTATGAAAGTTTTTGTTGGTATCATCAATTGCTTTCTCAATCAATTATATTTGATGTTTTAAAATTGATAATCTAGAAAACTTGATGCAGGTGGTACAAGCTATGGGATAAGTTTATCCTGATTTGGGCTATATATTCAACTTTTTTTACACCAATGGAGTTTGCATTCTTCAAAGGATTGCCCAGGAAACTATTTCTTTTAGACATTTGTGGTCAAATAGCTTTTCTTGTCGACATAGTCATACAATTTTTTGTGGCCTACAGAGATAGTCAGACATACAAGATGGTGTATAGGCGAACCCCTATTGCTCTTCGGTTAGTCCCCTTCTCCCTTCTAAGTTCTACCTTACTATTTGCACAAGAGGGGCAGAACCTAGTGTTTCAGGTCAAATTCTTTATATACTTGTAAAAAACAAGTAGTATATATAAAGTACAATATACATTTTGAAAAACACACATCATCTAAATTCTGAATCTATCACTGAAGAAATTTGCAGAAGAATGTATGCATTTAAGTAAGTTAGCCTCTTTCATTGCAGGTACTTGAAATCTCATTTTATCTTGGATGTTCTCAGTTGCATGCCGTGGGATAACATTTTTAAGGTACTATATTCGCTCCTAAATCCTCTCTCTAACATCATGCTTTTAGAGTTATTAGAATAACTTCATGCTTTTAATTTTGTTGCACAATTTAATCAGTCAATCTTTTATATAATTTGGAGATCCACCAAATGTTTTAGAACATGCAAAGCAAACATCTATTTGGCAGTTAGGTGAGAATATGATATGATTAAAACAACAAGGAGGAGGAATTAAACTAGTTTTGCGTGACTTTCATGCTTAGAGGCCTAAAATGCTGAATAAACTGATAAAGCGCACTTGTCTTTATATGCTCCTCTCTCATAAACTTCAGTTCAAACCTAGTAAAGAGAAATGAGAACTTTCTTGCCAACAAGAGTGGAAGCCCTTTTGTCTACTTCATTTCCTATTAGTTTTTGCCTTCGGTGAAGACCAAAATTTTAAATGAGTTGATACCTGCATTTCATGTTAGATACTTGATCCAAGTAGTGCCTTTTTTACTAACGCTGTCCCGTATCAAATATTCAGGCTTCTGGCAGAATTGAAGGAGTGAGATATCTTTTATGGATTAGGTTAAGCAGGGTGCGCAGGGTTACTGACTTTTTCCAGAAGATGGAGAAAGATATTCGAATCAATTATCTCTTCACTAGGATTGTAAAGCTTATCACTGTTGAACTTTATTGCACGCATACAGCAGCTTGCATCTTTTACTTTTTGGCAACTACTCTGCCTGCAGAGAAAGAAGGCTACACATGGATTGGTAGTTTGACCCTGGGAGATTACAGTTATTCACACTTTAGAGAGATTGATCTCTGGAGGCGGTACATCACTTCTCTGTACTTTGCAATTGTCACTATGGCAACTGTGGGTATGTCGATTGCTCTCTTTCTAGTTTCACTGGCATAATTATCTGAAAAATATATTCCAGTTCTATTGGAGATGAAATTAAAAGGCTGATGATATAGATGGAATCCACAATACACAAGTTGTTACACATGATTAGACGATTCACCAGAATTAGTTGTTTTCCTCTATAAAATGGACTACTGTTGTCTTTTGTGACCGTTCGAGCAACAATCCACGATTAAAGTTGGGTGCTGGTTTTTATAACTGGGATTTCTGCCCTCTCCTAGATATTTTTCTCAGTTTCATAGGATAACTTCTTAATATTAAAAAGATTTACTTCTTCCATTCTATATTGGGGTATCACAAAGGGAAGAGGCTTTGCTGTCAAGTTGTCTTTGCCTTTTTCTCCTGATACCTAAATGGAAGGTGCAAACATTTCGCCTGTCAAGATATAGTTGTTATTTTGTATCATATGATATAAGTTGTGACTCTAGATTTCATTTGAGAATATAAAGTTCTCAAACTCTGAAGTTGAAATTCTACGTGGCATTCTATCCAGGACTAGAACTGAAACCTTTTCTTCCAATTTGTGTTCTTTTTTGTCTTCTATAGACTAGAGTAAGTTCAGGATGTATAAATACCTGAATCAGATGTCTGAATAATAGAAGTATCATGAACTGCAGGTCCGAAATAGTACAAACTACAAACTAATCATGAGGTGTGACTGGTAGTATGATGACAGTTTGGCTGACAGTGGTAGTGCTTGTTATATTTGGTGCATGTGATAATTGGCTTTTCAATCTATTTTAATCCTCTAAAGATCGCTCTAAGCTTTATACCCTTAGATTTTCCTAAATAATTGATCTTATCCATTTATTCCAATATTTATGCATGTTTTGAGCTTATTAATGGAACTGAAGACACTCATTCAATCTCAATTTGTGTTTTAGAGATGTCCTGTTATCTTTTTATTTACAAATTATCAACTTGGCAACTTAAAGACGAGTAGTCATAAATATTGAATAATTCACCGTGCACGTCAAGCTATCACTAGTACCATGCATTTGATCTTTTCTACATTTCCTCCCTTGCACCAAGAAAAATATAAAAGAGAAAATAGGTAACAAATGACTAGGAAGAGAGCACAGATGCTATTGAAGACGGATAAATATAGATGTTCACAAGGTTGGTGTTGGTTTTACATAGTTTTGGATTAACATAAAAATTCTTTTTTGGTGAAGAGACGAACAAAGAAAAATGGTTCTTTGAGTAATGAGATTATTTTAACCAGAAGAAACTAGTTGAGGCTGTATAAAAGAAGCAAGTTGTTTGTTTTGAAGTGGTACTCATATGCTTCGAAGGAAGGTTTCTTTTGACCATTCTCTTCCTAACTCATGGCATTCTTTTTAAACCTTTTCTGTATATGTAATCACATCCTACTAATATTAGAAGATGTCTCTCGGTCTTACAGGTTATGGTGACATTCATGCAGTCAATCTGAGGGAAATGATATTTGTGATGGTTTATGTCTCTTTTGATATGATTCTTGGTGCTTACTTGATCGGTAACATGACAGCACTGATTGTCAAGGGATCAAAAACTGTGCGATACAGGGACAAAATGACAGATCTTATGAACTATATGAACAGAAATAGACTCGGAAGGGATATTCGTAGTCAAATTAAAGATCACTTGCGATTACAATATGAAAGTGCTTACACTGATGGAGCCGTTCTCCAGGACCTTCCCATCTCAATTCGTTCCAAGGTAAATAAACAAAAGGAAAAATCTTCATATGTGTGCAATTTGCTCTATATTCATTAAATTTCATGTACTCTGGGACATTAGAATCACAACTGGTTTAATTCTTCGAATTGTGTGGCTTCTTTTCTGTTTTCCTCAATTTATGGTGCTATATTTGGACCATAAGAGTTAATTACAAGCTAGTTTTCCTTTGTTACTGATGGAGAGAATGCTAGGCATGTAAAGAAAGTGGCGGATCTATAATCTATACATGATGTGGGTTCTGAAATATAAATCTACAAAATAATAATAAAAAGTATATGTATGTGGTCGGGCAGCTGTTACACCATTCGTGCAGGTCACTACTGATGCAGCAAGGAATTTCGTTACAGTTCTTTAAATCTGTTGCGAGAGATCAAGTCATTGTCAAAACAATTATTTGGTTATGCTATTTTTGGAATTGTTAATAGGGTTGGAGCAGAAAGTGATAGGTTTGCCAAAACCCACAGAGCCCCTCTGGATTCTCACAGGGTAGAAGACATCAGGCATTGTGACTTTAAAAGAACCAAGCAGTATGCATGGTATTATTAGGTGGAGGGTTGTTGACTTGGGAATTTATTTCGTTGTCGAAAAGGGCATTAAGAATCTTTGTTAGCCCTTCTAAAGTTCGTATTCTTTCTTGCCTTCCATTTCGACCTTTCCTTCTCATTGCTGATGCATATAACATTCTTTCAGCAATATTGTAACAAACACTTCAACCTTTCTGCAGATATCCCAGACTTTATATCAGTCTTGCATTGAAAATATTCCTCTTTTCAGGGAGTGCTCCGCAGAATTCATAAGTCAAATTGTAAGTAATCTTCTTTGTCAGTGATTGTTTATTTAATCTCAAAACAGTGTTTGTATCGTTTTCCTGAAGAGGTCTGTTTCATTTTCACTCTAGTTAAAATCCATGATATTATATGAAATATTTTGCCACAACCTCTAGAAACTAATGGCTAATAAGATCCTTATATATTTTCTATACTGATCCTAATGAGGCAAGAAACATAGACCCACACCATATGTTCTAATCTAAGATCCAGAGTTGCTCATGCTCTGAATTTTGTGAACAGCATAAATAATTCATCTTTATTTCAGGTTCGTTTGCTTGATTAAATTGTATAGCACATTTACTTCTTCAATGTGCTTAATGATTTTTACATGTTATACGTGCACCCAAGGACAGCAAGGTTGGGATCCTAGGTTGAGAACATATTTGTAGAAATGGTCCTTGGTAACTTTATGGTTTTTTTCTGCATGTAGACATGCTTTCTGCCTTATCAACCTGCATTGCCACAGTCAGCTGAATTTAGAAATAATTCGTCATGCATGCTTCTTCTCTCCTCTCTTAATGTACACCTTTGGATGCTTGCCTCCTCACACCTTTCTGTTTGATTACGATTGGGCCCAGTTAAAGAGAAAAAAGTAAATCTAGCGCTGAGGAGCTAATTTTGTGAAAAAATTTCAGGTAACTCGAGTGCATGAAGAATTTTTTCTCCCAGGAGAAGTGATCATGGAACAGGGGCATGTAGTGGACCAACTTTATTTTGTCTGTGATGGTGTCCTGGTAATTGTTTTACTGTTATTATTGCTGCTCAGTGCTCAGCATTTTCTATCACAGCCTTTTATTTTATAATAAGCTTATATTCATTTGTGGCTGAGGAAATGTATATCCTACCTTATATTAGAGGTCTCCAAACCTTATTAATATCATAGTTCTGGATCTATTATGGACTTGGTTCTCTGACTGCAGCTAAGAAATTTTTCCGTGATGGTGTTATTAGAAACTCTAGATAAGGAGAGAAAACTACAATAAACCTGTTTTCTAGTTTCCCCTTGCTCCAAAACTTCTGCAAATCTTACAACTGCTGACTTATCAATTCATATTTGGCATCAAGCTGTAGCTAATATTGCGAGACTCATTGTGGTTATTTTGATTCAGGAAGAAATTGGTATAGGAGAAGATGGGTCACAAGAGACAGTAGCTCTTGAGCCTAATAGCTCGTTCGGAGAAATATCCATTCTTTGCAACATTCCACAACCATATACTGTCCGTGTTAGTGAACTATGCAGACTCATACGGATTGATAAGCAGTCATTTTCAAATATTTTGGAGATCTATTTTCATGATGGAAGAAGAATCTTGACGAACTTACTAGAGGTAATCTCTCTTGGGCAGCATGCCATTCTCCACTCATACCACCTATGGCTTCTGTTGTCTCTTGGTAGTAGTACAAAAGTTGACTAGAAAAGTACATGTTCATAAATGTTAATTGTTCTTTTCCTTTTAATATTAGCATCTTTTTGCATTAGAAGTACTTAATCACTCAAAAGGTCTAAAAGGAGTATTATCTGACAGGGAAAGGATCTTCGTGTGAAGCAACTGGAGTCAGATATAACATTCCATATTGGGAAACAAGAGGCTGAGCTTGCTTTGAAAGTGAATAGTGCAGCTTATCATGGTGACTTACACCAGCTGAAGAGTCTTATTCGAGCTGGAGCTGATCCCAACAAGAAAGATTATGATGGAAGATCACCTCTGGTATGATTTTTTAGCTAATAGAAACATAAGAGTTTTCTGGTTCATTACTTTTTGATATTTCAACGAGTTGCTTAGTTTAAAAAAAGTTATTTTCTGAGTAACTATTAAACTCTTCTGAAATCAAAGCCATTTGAGCGTTTATCAGTCCATGAGTGGACCTTAACTCTTTGTTCATAATGAGTTGTTTTTTTTCCAAGCTCATAAATGTCTTTCTTGAGTGTGCAAATCTGTAAATCATGCAGCATAGTTTGGTAGGATTTATCTGTTGTAACAAATAAGGAATTCCAGATTGAAATTCTGCAGGTATTATTGGTTGAAGTTTCAGATGCTGCTTCTATAAAAATACTGATTCTGTCTTTAAGAAAAATAACCAAAGATAATGATTCTAAAAGAAGGCTGAATTTTTAAAAGAGTTGAAAAGTATTCCTAATCAAGGCTTTGTTTATGAACAGCATCTTTCAGCATCCAGAGGATATGAAGACATCTCTTTTTTCCTTGTCAAAGAAGGTGTCGCTCTCAATGCTTCAGGTAGGTATTAAAACCTGTTCTTGACCGGTGAACTTCCTTGTTCTCATATATTTATTAATAATGATTTTTTCCAAGTAGACAACTTTGGAAACACACCGCTCTTTGAAGCTATCAAGAATGGACACGATCGTGTTGCTTCATTACTTGTTAAGGAAGGTGCCTTCTTGAAGATTGAAAATGCTGGTAGCTTCTTGTGTACGTTGGTTACAAAAGGGGATTCAGATCTACTACGAAGGCTGTTGTCCAATGGTATTGATGCAAACTCCAAAGATTATGATCACCGAACACCGCTCCATGTAGCGGCTTCTCAAGGATTACTCGCGATGGCGAGATTGCTTCTGGGAGCTGGTGCTTCAGTTTTTTCAACGGACAGGTACCAGTTAAATATATATTGCTATATTACTGTAGTCACTTCCTTAACAGTATGCAATCTTTAGTTTAGAGCAAGCTACCTTTTGTCATAAACTATAAGGTAGACTCATGTGCTTAACATGTCGGGAAACATAAAATTTACTTTATATTGTTGCTACCAGTATTTGGCGAATTAATTGAGGGGAGTAACTTTTTTTCTTGTTGATGATTGTTGAATCTTTCATCTGGTTACAAAGGGAGCGAAATGGATAGTTAGGATTCATATAGCCAACAATTAGTTTGGGATTAAGGCGTAACGACGTTCTAGAATCTTACATCCATTACCTATGGACCTTATTCTTATTCTTTTTCAAAATTTCATTTTGTGGTTGGAAGGTTTTCAACTTCTGTTTTTATCACTTGTGAAGTTGCGACATTTATAAAGTTACAATCGTCTTTGTATGTATGATTATCCTGACAGCTAATATCTAACTTTTACTCTTGCTATTTTTGAATATAATACCCAATCGATTTGAAATCACATCAACACTTTGCTTATTTTTAATCATGTGAGAAAGTTATTGATGTTCTTCAGTTAAATGGGGAAATAGATCTTTTCCCTTTTCCTTTGGCATTTAAGAATGAAATGTCGAGCATATAAGGCCTCATGTAAAAAATGAATGCTTTTGGAATGAACTTCTGAATTTTCTCATCAGTGAATTCGACGTTGCACTAATTGATTTTCCTATTTTTCCTGTCATCAACTAAATGAGATAGAGACGAATCAAGAATGAGAATGACTTCTCAAATGTGAGGAAGATTCCAACACAATTTTCTTTAGGTGAAACCTGTTCTTTTTCTAAGAAAACTCATTGATGACCTAGAGGAGATTATTGTCAAGTCCATCCCGGTTCAAGCTCAAAATGCCTTGAATCATACATGATCTTTGGTCACGCTGATAGTTTTGTTCCCATATCAAGATTATTAGATGCTTAGTCAATTCTTTTCTTGAGCTTGGTGTAGTTTCTTTCCTTCAAGTTTTCAGGCTACTCGAGGTGAATAGATCATCGTGGTTGCTCTTCCAAACCATTACACTGTACTAGCTGAATTGTGCATATCTGTACTCATTTTGAAAGTATGGCTAGCCGCTTAAATCTTAAAGGGAACTTGTTGTGTTGCAGATGGGGAAATACTCCATTTGATGAAGCTAGACTAAGTGGAAACAATCAGTTGATCAAGCTTCTGGAAGAAGCAAAATCAGCTCAAACATCAGAATTCCCCAGTGTTTCGCACGAGATTTCAGGTATTGCAGAAGCAACACCATCACTTAAAGCAGTGGAATATATTTCTTTTTAGGAGATTAAATTATACCCTTTTTGTGGCACCACTGCTTATTTTATCTGGGAGATTCCCTTGTTCCACCTGCTTTCCCTTCACTAATGACCTATAAAAAATGCCAAGAAACAATAAAAAAGTGACGTAAAGAGGAACAAGAAAAGTGTTAGCTTAATGTTCATTATTACCTGCAAGCCATCAATCATTACTCTTCTTCCAAAACGAACAACGGGGGCTATAACTTCTTTACAACTAAAGTTCCTCATGTCACTAGCTAGATTGTTACTTAACACCAATGTTTTTAGTTTTATTGGCTAAGCTATTTCAAGCTTGCTAACCATATAATATCCGTGCATAACAGAAAAAAAGCACCCGCGGAAGTGTACTGTATTCCCTGTCCACCCATGGGAGCCCAAGGACCTCAGGAAACATGGTGTTGTACTATGGGTACCTAAGAGTATGGAAGAGCTCGTTACTGCAGCTTCAGAACAACTCGACTTCCCATCAGGCTCTTGTATTTTATCAGAAGATGCAGGTAAAATTCTTGATATAGATATGATATCTGATGGTCAGAAGTTGTACTTGATCAGTGAAACAACTTGAGAATACCCCGTCTATACATGGGAGCCCAAGGACCTCAGGAAACATGGTGTTGTACTATGGGTACCTAAGAGTATGGAAGAGCTCGTTACTGCAGCTTCAGAACAACTCGACTTCCTATCAGGCTCTTGTATTTTATCAGAAGATGCAGGTAAAATTCTTGATATAGATATGATATCTGATGGTCAGAAGTTGTACTTGATCAGTGAAACAACTTGAGAATACCCCGTCTATACATAGTTACCCCGTTCAGCTTTGGGGTTTGTATATTTTGTCAACCTAGTTGAAGATGAAATAGAATAGCTACTCACTTCTGCTGAGTGATGATATCACAAATAAGAAATCTTCGCACTGTAGCAATTTATGTTTCTCGACTCGAATGTTGTTTGTAGTGATTTGGTACTTGTACCTTGCAATATCAATTTCTGTTGTTGTAACCTGAAGTCTTAATTTTACTGTAGAAGGCAGTTTTTATGGCAGGATCTGCCGTTACTGCAGTATTTTAATATAGTTTTCAAAATCTTGAGCTGAGATTCCATGTTCTATTGGCATTTCTATATCTACTCCAGTTGTCTAGAAATCCTATATTGACTCTATTGAGGGTTTGCACATTGAATCAACAATTTCAAAATTATTCTTATATTACTCTTTTAGTGTTTATTCCCCCGGAACCTGCTAACGCACCGTGCTGCCTCTTTTACTGGGTTGAAATTTTTGGCAACCCCATGAAAGTGATGGTTAGCTTACCAATAGACAAAGCAATGTGCTATGTCATATGCTATTGTCTTTTTGTGGTGTCCATAGGTCAAACCAATTCCAAGCTTTCCTTTTTCTAAATTCTAACTCCTTGATGTTATTCCTTCTTGGACAAAGTAATATATACAGAGTTAAAAGTCATTGCTTCGACTAACAACGACACACCAAATGATCCAGCCTTCCGATTCTTTGAATCTCAGCTTGGAGGGGTTGGATTAGTATTGACATTATTGTACATTGATGCTGGAATTAGTTATTTTAATATTGACTTGATTAATATAGTATCCATACATGTAAGATACTCTTAATTTGTTTGTAAACTGTGTGTTGCTTCTCACTTTTAGCTTCAATCCCCAGATTTGATCCTTTTTGGCTCTTTTGGCTTTAAAGAACACTTTTTTCTAACTTTTGTTTGGAAATGGTTTTCTCAAATTGCAATGACCTAATTGACCTATGTGTCCAATTTCACATTTTCAATATGGGTGCTTCATCCATGAACAAGAAGATTTGATTTTGTAGTCCTTTACAAATTTGTTTTTAGTTTTATATCCCTTTTTACAAGAGATCTTCATTTTTACATATAAGAGAGATCTGAAAAGGTCTGTTTCTTCTATTCAATTTGTAAGTGGTGATAAGAGATCATTTCCTCGTGAGTTTCAATATGAAAGAGTAAAATCTTATGCTCTGAATAAGGAATCTGGTTTTTGGCATTATCACCAGCAAATTAAAAAGCTAACCAGGGTTTAGTCCTCAAACATTACAAACTCATACTCAAGTTACCTCAAACTGTTAGTTTATATCTGGAGATGTCATCTAAAACGTATCGATGATAAGAAATAAGAAGGAAGAAAAAACATCAGTGCTGAAAGGTCCCTCCTTCTCTTCTGTTTTGTAACAAAGTAAAAGAAACATCTATTACTGTCACCAAGAATTCTTGAGTGGCTTCTCCAACAGTGCTGAAAGATACATCTCATTCAGCTCGGGTCCTCTATCCAACTTTCGCCCTACGACCCACTTGACCTTAGTGAACCCAATGCTCTCTATAAGTGGAGCATAGACTTGCTCAAATTGCTCTCTAACACAGAAGAAATGGTCAAGCCAGAACAGCCCACCAGGTCGAAGCACTCTATAGATGTCGAAAAACAAGAAGTGGAGCAGTGTTGATGGTATCCAATTACTCAACACATGCATTGAGTGGACTATATCTAGTGTGTTGTCAAAGAAAGGAAGTCTCTGTGAAATGCTTATGTACAAAGGTATGACTCCTCTTGATGCTATAAATGTATTGAAAGGACCATTGAGATTCATTGAAGTTGTTAATATTGTTATGTTCCTTTCTCTCATTCTTACAGCGAACGTAGCTACACCACCTCCAATGTCAAGTCCTATTCTGATTGTACCAGGCTTCTTCACTGCTAGTACTTCATCAATAGAGAAGTCAAGGCCAGCTCCCTTTGTCGACAACCATCGTTTTTTCTCTCTGCCATTGAGATCAAAGCAGTCTTTGCAATCATCAAATGATTTCTGTGATTTCACCCTGTTGATGAGACATTCATAAGTTTTGCAAGTATATGCTGTCCAAACAACAGATGAATCTGATGGTGTAGTCCATAAACTCTCAGGAAGAGGGTAAGGCTCAACATATTCTTGTTGAGCAGCAGGACGGCATCTGCGTCTAGGGAGAGGCTCACAACCTGTAAACAAAAAAAAGAGAGTAAGAGATTTTGAGTAACAAATTCCTTAATTCCTTTTCCTACTTACACAATTATAGTAACTATATATACAATCAAACCTCTCTATAACAATACATTTCACTATAACAGACAAGTTCCCTTTGGAACCGTTTTTTCATGTTATGTTATACTAGACAAAGAACGTTGTTATAGAGATGTTTGACTGTATAAACGTAAGGAACAGTATCTTTCCACACTAACACAAACCTTTGAGAAGCAGCTTCTGTCCCAGGATCTCATCATCAGGGCAAGAACCATTGACTCTGTATGACATGTAACGACGAAGTAAATCAGGAAACCTGGTGCACGGGTGCCCAACCGGAGGAATGATACTGTCAGAATCAAAGTTTGTGCTGAATCCAAATGGTAGTTTATGTGGAGATGCGAAAGCACGGAGCTCAGATGGAAGGTCTAAATCAGATGCTTGAATATCATCATCTCTAGTTTCTGCAGGCTGAACAACCAAAGGGATATCAGTATTAAGTGATGAATCAGTATCAATGGAATTATATGTTTGTTGGTATAGATAACAAGAAGAGTGCTTAAAAGTGTTAGAAATGATAAAAGTGAGAAGATTTGAGGACACAAGAAGGAAGAAAAAGAACAGATTAGGGGAAAAAGATCTTGGCTTATGAGGTGAGTCCATGAGTTTTTTCTTTTGGTTTATCAAAACTTTGATCTCTTATATGCTTATAGATATAATAGTCAGCATGTGTGAAGTTAATTTTCTAGTCCTTAGTGAGTTCAGAATGAGCTAGTGTGTTCTTATACTCCGTTCCGTCTAACAATAGTTGTCCACTTACCCTTTATGTCTATTTTACCCTTGTTATTACATACTCCCCCCATTTCATATTAATTGAATTGTAAAGGTGTTTCACATCCTTTAAGAAAAGAAGATTAAGACATAAATTAGGCTTAACTTTCCATTTTTACCCTTATTAATTATTATCAAAATTATGATTAAAATAACTAAACATTAATTAATAACTCTAACTAATGAAGGGTAAAATTGGGAAAACATTCTAAAAGTAGTCTTGAAAATTGAACAATTAAGTTAATTTGAAAAAATGAAAAATGTCTCAACAATTCAATTAATATGAAATGGAGGGAGTATTATTTATCATCTAGCACATTTCTCAAAACATTAAATTTAATAAAGTCAAAGGATAATAGAGTACTTCCTCTGTCCCTAATTACTTGTCCACTTCTGCCTTTTTAGTTGTCTCTAATTACTTGTCAATATTGACAAATCAAAAAAGAACAATTTTTTTTACCTAGTATACCCTCAATTAATTACTTTGAAAATGGTAGAACTTCTTGAAAATCTTAAGTTTTTAATTCATTAACTTCATAATTAATAGGGGTAAAATGGTAAACTCATCATTAGGTCAATCATTATATTTTTAATAGGTGTGCCAATTCAAAAATGAACAAGTAATTAGAGACAGAGAGAGTAATATTACCCTATTATTTATTGTTTCTTAATGTGTGTGTCAAATCGATAGTGGACAACTATTGTTGGATAGAGGAGTATATATCACTAAAAAAACAGGAATTAGCTATGGATCCGCTGCTAAATGTGTTGTCTCTAAAATAGGATTTTTCATAATATGTCGCTAATCCCTTGCTAGTCCATTGTTAAATAGGATTTTGTATTGTTAGACACCTTATTTTTCTTGCATCTAGATAACTCGTTCGAACCGAAAGTAATGAGTTTATTGGACCCATAAAATTCTCACCTAGATCTACCTTTGGTTTCACATGGACCTACAAAGTCCTACTTCATAAAAATATAATACTTATATCATCACCAAAACCCAAGGTTTGTTGTTCATAGTTTCTTAATATGAGAAGTAAGAGGGGAAAACAAAGTAACTATTCTTTCCGTCTACTTTTAATTGTCATGATTTTATTTTTTTTAGAGTCAAACTATAAGAACTTTGACTAACATTTTACAATGTGTTTTTTCTTCATATTGATATGAAAAAATATGCAATTTATAGTACTTTTCGTATAATTTTTGAATATCGAATTTTTTTTGTTTATAATATCTAAATAATGTAATTTTATTTAACTCTGAAAAATAGTCAAATTGACTTTTGAAAAGCGCAACATGACAAATAAAAGTGGGCGGAGGGAATAGCACATTTCCAGCTCTAAGATTGACTTGTGCATTTTTTTTAATTTTTTTTTGTGTGTTTGTATTATACTATAGTTTTGTTTCAAGTGTAGATGCTCTTAATTACTTGTGAGTTTTAGTGGCGCATTTTGAGCTGCATATTTTGCGGATTAAGTCACATGATTAGTTTAATAGCAATTTCTTGGAAGTTGTATTCACTTGTTCTTTTTTCAACACATAGTTGTTGAAGTTCAAGAAATGTGTACAATTTTTTGTGCTTTGTGCATTCAATTCCCATAAAATTTGGATCAAGAATAGAAGGTAATATGTGTGTGTATATATATTATGGTTGAACAAGTCAATTAGGGGATTAAGAAAATTCAAACTTGGAACTAAGTGTTAGAGCTAAGATTTTCACTAAAGTATTTAAAAACTACAGACAAATTAAAGAAGAAATTGGGGATCAATCTTGTACGGTATATACATGAAAAATAAATTCTTTCTGTCTCAATTTATATGATTTATTTTCCTTTTTAGTCAATCCTAAAAAATGACACATTTTTATACTAAATAACAATTTAATTTTAAAATCCTCATTTTTTTCCCTTAATGAAATGATTTATAGCAAACAAATTTCTATCACTTATTTTAGACCACAAGTTTCAGAACTCTTCTTCTCTTTCTTTAGCTCAATAATGATTCAAACTAACTTATATAAAATGGGACGGAAGGAGTATCAACTTTGTTGTATAGTGTGTTTTCTAGCAGAATGAAATTCGGATGAACTCTCTTGTGAGCGTAACTTCCCCTCCTGCTAGCTACCTAAAGCAATTTTTAACTAGCATTGTAGTTAAAAAGTAAATTCCATATATATATATATATATATATATATATATATATATATATATATATATATCGTATTGTTGATGTTCATTCCAAAGTTTTCTAGATAAATTTAAAACTAAGCAGACAACTTGCAAGCATCTTTGGTAGCTTCTAAAAAACCTTATAGCTACTTCATAAAAAGTCTCGCAACAACTTCTTGTCTTCTATAAATAGGAAGTCAATTCAATTTATTTGTATAACAATCGCTCTCTATATTTTTCTTTGGTATATTTACTTTATAGTTTTTATTTTTATATAATTTGTGTTGTCTGATTTTTCAACGAAGGGAATTTAATTGAACCACTTTCTTATCTGTGGTTTCACTCAAACTTATCTAACTCTTTCCACTTAGAAATGTCCTAAAAATAGTTTACAACATTACATGTTTTACAATTTCCATAACTCTTAACATTTCAAATTTTTTTTAAACTATGCTTGCTTTATTTGTCAATGTTCATTTTTCAATTTTATTACAATAAAATACTCTTTCAATAATGACTAAAATAATATCATATACTAATCAAATTAACATATTTTAAGCTTGTCCCCTTTTATTCTGACCTCTGCTCTTTGCAGAACGAGTAGTACATCTTTCATATTTTATATGCCTATTTAAAGATCACAATATAATAAGGTAAGGAGAAACGACATAAAGTAATATCTGAAGTTGTTTTGAATTTTCAAAAAGATACTTTAACTATGCAGGCGTCCTATTACCCCCTAAACAATTCCGATAATATATTATTACATCATTTTTCGATCAATTCCAGATTTTAAATGGCAAGTGTTATCACACACCAATTATTGTGTGACACGTGTTAATTTAATTTGAAATATAATTTTTTTTCATTTTAAGTTTTTCTTTATTTCTCTCTCTTACTTTTTGACTTATTTTAATTTTATTACTTTAATTTTAATTTCATTTTAAATTCTACTTCATCTTCCACCTCTACTTTCAAGCTATCCCTCCCTCCATTTTCTTTCTTTCTTTCTGCTTCTTCACCTCCCACCCTCACCTCACCCCACCCCCACGTCAAGTTGAGCCCCTCCATTTTCTTTCTTCTTCTTCTTCGATCAAATTCCTTTCTTTCCAAAATTATAGAATTTGTGTTATTAATAACAAAACTAATTATTTTTTTAAGAAAAATCAAAATTGTGAAGGTATCATCAATCAATTTATCTCATTTTCATATAACTACAAAACTAGAAATGATAATTTTGAAAGAATCAGAATTCTCCGAAAATTGAAAAAGTTTAATTGAAATTTTGGATAAAAAAACTAAATAATACCTACTAATCATCTTGAAATCTAATGGGTTTATCAAATTGTTTGAAATGTAATAAAATATTTAGATATAATTTTAAAATTGAAGAGAGTTAAACTAATAGTAGTAAAAAAGGGAGGTGGAGTTGTGGTAAAAAATGACATTGAAATTGAGAAGCTACAATGAAGATGACAATGAATTTTTGAAGAAGAAGGAAGAAAAAAAATATAAGGAGAAAAAGTTAAAATAATAAAAAACACAAGAAAATATATTTTATAGCAAAATACTTGTAAAAATAAAATTATATTCGTTTTTTTAGTTTGTTCACGCTCTTTAAGAGAGTGCATACACTCTCCATGCTAGGTGGACAAAAAATGATGTAATAATATTAGTTCAGGATTGTTTAGGAAGGTAATAGGATACTTACATAGTTTATGTGTCTTTTTGAAAATTCGGGACAACTTCAGATGTCACTTTATGTCTTTTCTCTAAGGTAATACTACCAACTAAGAAAGTGGAGGAGAAAGAGGCTTATGTTTACTCTTATGTTTTTGTTTACATTCTCGAGATTCTCAATTATTCTTTTTCATAAGATTGAGGAATAGTAAGTACAAAAATATCAGTTGTTTTATTTTTTTGATTTCGCACCTGATGTTTGATATTACAATGAGAATGGATTAAATTTGAAATCGCGCATAAAAGAATATAAGCAGTTTTCTTTAAGATTTAACAATGTCAATATTTATATTTGCAGATATTTCTTATGCTACTTAAGAGAGGCATTATATCTATAAAAAAAAACTTTGAAAATGACATTTCAAAGAATTCATTCTATTTTATAAACATCTAGGTATGTTCAATTTTAAAACCCAAATATTACAAACACAATGTAGGATGATCAATAATAGTACTTAGCACTAAAAACTTAACCCTCTTATAAGCCTCATTATACTAGTTGTGTGTGTTTAAATCTCATTATCTCATTCACAGACCTATTGAAGTAGTTTTAACACATGATTGTACGTCAAACGAATTGTGGCACCTCCCAAGGTATTTTGTGAGTCCACTCCTTTAGACCTAACTCTTTGTACAAAGTGGATGAAGATGGAAAAGACACTTAAGGATTAACTTGTGGCTTTAATTTTGGTTGCTAGCCGATATCTGAATTCTTAAAAGAGTAAATTTTAGGTTTAGTAAACATAAAAATCATATTAGCGCTCTATAGTTACAATTTTGCTATTTGCGTTTGCTATGGAGCATCAGATATGTATTAAAATAGCAGGCAACTTTGATTTGTATAAAATCACAGACATCTGGTTTGTATAAATCGAGCGTCTGTGTCTATGAAAATTGCGTTTGTATATGTATATGTTCTTTGTGTTTGTATATCTGCATAAAATTTGAATTCG